ACTCTGTCATAGCGAAAGATTGAAGATAATCTAAAGTCCACTGGTAAGTGACAGGTTAAAAAATAGAAATATTGTACATTAAAAAACTGGAATACTAAAAAAAGAAATGAGAAGCTCTTTATGAACTGATATGAAAAGATTTCTAAGACACGCTATTAAGTTTAAAAAATCAGGATGCAGAATGCTTATTGCAGCTCAATTTATAATTGCCAATTGTGTATAATGAGGTGTGCTTTCTATTACAAAAGAGAAAAAAATCTATATTTGCATAGACACTATATACATATATATATGACACTTCAGAGGAAATTAAGAATAGTGTTGGAAATGGTATCAAAGACTGGAAGGTTTGTCAACAAAATGTTAGTAAATGATGGGAATACAATAAATTGTTAATCATGTTAGAAAATAACTTTCGTAGTACCTAGAAAAGAAGCAGCTATGCTTCCCCTATAACTCAGAAATTTCACTTGGAGGTAATCACCCAAAAAAATACTCAGGCACATATACACCCAAATACATAAAACGTAATGTCCATATCAGCATTGCTTTGAGTGCCCCCAACTGGAGATATTTAAAATGTCTATCATCAATGGAATGGATTAAAAAATGTAGTACAAGTATGTAAGGGAATTCTATATCGCTAATAAAATACATACAGTGTAGCTCCATGTAACATGGATGCCTCTTATAAACAAGTTCAGAACAAGGGAAATGAAATTACATTTTTAGCAATACATAAATAGATGGTAAAAGAATAAATGCAAGCAAAGAAACAGTCACCATGAAAGTGAGGTCCTCTGCTTATCTCTCACAGGAGGCAGTGATGTCATCGAGAGGGATGACTTAGGAGTGCTTCTGAGGGGGTGGCTTGGTGTACAAGTATTTCTATTTCTTGAGTCAGTGGTTGTAACATGAATGCTTCAGAATTACTCATAATGCCAGATGATTTGGTTTATGTACTTCTTCTGGAATGTGTTTCATTTCTTTTTAACTTTAAATGTTATGCAAAGGTTTTTATTTTTTGTAAGCTCACAAAACTGCTTTCGTTGGGAAAACACCAAAAATTCTTCCAAAAGAATTTTTCCAGGGTGTGGTGCTTTTCCCAGGATCAGGTTAACTCGTAGCTACCTACTCCTAAATAAGCTAAGTGTCAGTGGCCCCCATCCCATCTTGACCACATGCATTTTGTTTTCCTAACTCCTATGCTGCAGGCTACCTGAAATTTTCCCAACTGGTGTGAGGAGGGACAAGCCAAATGCTTGTCCCGGAAGGGATACAGCAAAATGTTAAACAAGGCCTATGCAGCCAGGGCCCTCACCCCCTGCTGCTGCCACGTTCATAGCCATGAGCCTCTGGACTACAGAATGATTAACAAATTATGCTTATGCCAAAGTTCTTATTTCTCTTTTTCTTCACCAAATCTTCAAAATAACTTAGTTGTGTCAGACTCGCTTACCATTTGCTTGTCAGACAGCTGTGTAGTAAGATTTCACTGTAGTTTTAATTTGCATTTCATTAAGGACAAATAGAGTGACCTGTCTACTTATACATGTATATTTATTGGCCATTTGGGTTGTTCTTTTGTGAGACCCATGTTCAAAACTTTTGCCCATTCTTTTATTGGATTGCCTATCTTTGATAGTGCTTAATTTAATTCCTTCTTAATAGCTTCTGGATGGTCAGAGTTGAAGGTTCACCATCCAACCAGAAGGCACGTGCAGCAATCTTAGATTTTTCACTAAAGGTTTTACAGAATTAGCTGGCATTAATTATCCATCAGACAAATTGGTCCTAAGCATCTGTCCATCACACTGAGTGCTGCCAGTCATGTGCCAGTGGGCCTGGATTGACATTCATTCAAGTGTTCAGTCTCCTGCTAGACGGAACACTACATAGGGGTTATTTCACTCATTTCTTACAACACCTCTGCGGAATATACAGATGATTCTGAACTTACAATGTGGCCATGGGCCAATAAGCCCATTATAAACTGAAAATTTTGTAAATTGAAAATGCATTTAGGGCAGCGCCTGTGGCTCAAAGGAGTAGGGTGCCGGCTTCATATACTGGAGGTGGTGGGTTCAAACCTGGCCCCAGCCAAAAAGAAAACTGCAGAAAATGCATTTAATATAATTAATACTGAACATTTTAGCTTAGCCTCGCCTACCTTAAATGTGCTCAGAATGCTTACATCAATCAGCCTACAGTTGGTCAAACTCATCTAACTCAAAGGCTATTTTATAATAAAGTGTTGAATACCTCATGTAATTTATTGAATACTGTACTGAAAGTGAAAAACAGAGTGCTTGTATGAGTAATCAAAGTACCATTTTTACTGAATGAGTATCGCTTTCACATAATCCTAAAGTTGAAAATTCCTAAGCTGAACCATCCTAAATCAGGGACCGTTTATTAGGCTTAGAGCCTTAAATTACTTGACCATTATGACTCAACTGGAGAGTGATGGGCTAGGAGTTGGTCCCTCATCTAACTCCAGAGCACATGCTCTTATCCTAATTATTATACTGCCTGAAGACAAAGTTTCCATCTGGTTTCAAATTTGGGATTATTGTGTACTGTGGAAATGGCAATCATTAGTTCTAAAAGAAGAGAATATAATTAAGTACTTAGTTTAGACTTGGTAAAATTTAAGTTCCCTAAAAATATATCATAATGCATATGGAAGACTCTGACAGAAAGAAAATAATTTTGAGTAAGGCTTTGCTATGTAGTTGACTTATGTTTCCATCACAGTCAATATGTGAATGGTAAATAGAGGCTCTTTACATGTGCTATGGTGTCAACAAACAGGTTATACAGTTTGAAGAAAATCAGATGCTCTTAGGCGAGATTCATTTCTTTTAGGTTAAAATGCAATGAACAACGATGGCAAACTCACCAGGCATTCAGCCAGCTACCCTACATGCTCAGAGCAGGGAAATAACACACTCCACCAGGCTGTGTTGAGCATCTAAGGGATTTTCTAGTCTTTTATAAGTAGAAAACACCAAAGTGTTAAAAAGTAAGACTCTAAACATTACAGTTTCTTGGAGAAGACCCCAGATAGCTGGGGGAAAATAAATCTTTATTTTCACATTAAACTTTAACTTTATTGTAAGATAAAAAAAAAAAAACCGAACTGCATTTTGAAACAAAAGTCATAGAAAAGCTGATCAGACTTGGAAAAGATCAAGAGAACTAAGGACTGAGCTCCAGTTCACATGGTTGATGGAGGTTTCTGAAACAGTTGCTGTAATGAGCTTCAGAGGTAGCTCTTCCCCACCCCCTTTGGGGAGACCTTCTGGCTTGAACATGTTCACGAACCCCATACAGCTTGTAAAGCTGTGTTCTTCTCCCGCTGAGACCTTGCTTAGGCTTGTCATTTAATTTGAAAGAATAATTTTCAATGTCTCCTTCTAGGCTGAGCATTAATCCCCCTAGTGCTTGATCGATTAAATCCCACTGTCTGTGTCTGGAAGGCAGTGTGTGAGCTTTATGTATTGCTTTCTGGCAAAGCTGCATTTCCATGCTCTATGGAACAGATGCAGCCCCATAACTGTGTGCAACGGGCTTTCAAACCCCTCAAATCTTGGCGGAGCGACAGGCAGTGTCTCATTTTAACATCTAGTAAGTTTAAAGGCCGTATAATTATGCTGCTCTCTGAAGAATTGTGTTCATACCTCTCCTATGACAATTAATAGCTTACAAGGTGAGAAAATGTTATCTCTCTTGATGTCACAATGATTGTTTATAGGAAATGGTGCTTTATTATCCTTCATTTTAACAACGAGGAGAAGCTGTGATCCTTGCCCAGGGTCACATGGCTAGTAACTGGCAATCTTGTGATGAAAATCCAGATCTTCTGATTCTAACATCAGTGGTCTTTTATGAGGTACATAAAAGAAAAAAACCCCAAGGTTGGAGAGCCATAGCGAGCTTTCAAAAGGATGCCTGTTACCTTGGCTCTGAGTCCAGAAACCTAATGGTAACACAAATGTCCCATCATTGTTCACTTGAGCAAAACAAAACAAATAAGCCATTCCAATGTTGCCTCCGGGATAAGGGGAAAATTGCCAGGGTACTTTGAGAAAGCCTAAATGTGATCAGCCAGGTTCTGGAAGATAATAAGTCCGTCCTGCAAGAGTTTTGCTGCTCTTGAGCACTCAACATACTGGCCTTGCATTCCCAAGTTTCACAAGCCTATGTCTCACTTCTCCAACTATAAAATCCTGGAAGTAGGTGCTTTGGTTTCATCTTCCCCAGAGGCAGATCTGAGATCTTTATCTCCAGATCTTCAAGTGCAAGTACCTTATTTGGGTACTTATTTACTTGAGGCTGTCAAGATCTAAAAGTTCAAGTACCTTAATTGGGAGAAGAAAGAAATGCCAGTAGGGAGGGAGGCAGGGGTGCAGGAAAGGAACGGTGGCCAATAAAGGATGTATTAACGAGCCAGCTACCCCTGGGGTGACCAAGCATAGCCCATGAGGAAACCTTGGACACAGTGTAAGCACAAACCCGGGAGACATCCCTCCTGAGGGTTGAGGGGGTGGGTGTTCATATGCCAACTCCTATCAGTCATTATTGAGAGCTGCTGGGAGTGGGAGGTAATCCCCCCCACCTTCTGGTATGCCGTGCGGGAGGTCAGAACAGCATTTTGTAGCGTAGGAATAAGTTCGCAGGCAAAGAAATGCAGATACCAGCAGGGGAACGTCTTGGTAAAGGGCATAAGGGATGTATGTGTCAGGGCACCCAAAGGGTCTGCTGTAATAGGATCTTGATCTTAACATTTAAAGAAATTCTCTTTCAATGCTAAGAATATTATTAGGGTATTATCGTCCCCTGATAACTATGGATTTATCAACTTGCTATCAGGGTGGATGTGAGAAATGCTTAAAGATACAAATTAAGTCCTAGCCAACAACAGAATATGAAAAGAAAGAAGAAAGAAGGGGCAGGGAAGCAGCTTCAGATCAGAGCAGGGAGTCATCTCTACTCACGCTTTCTCGTAAATCTTGTTGGGATGCTCTGGCCATTCGATCATGCACACGACTCTGCTGGGCATGGTTTCTGTGGTTGAGTAGTAGCCCTGGGGGAAGGCCAGCAGGAGAGCCAGGACCCAGATGACACAGATGACCACTTTGGTGGCTGTGGCCGACAGTCGGGGCTGGAGGGGATGGATGATGGCCATGTACCTGGAGCAGAGATGAAAGGACAAAATTCTGCTTTGGTTGCCAGAATCTGCATCAGTAATTATGTCTTTCCTATCAACGAAAGATTGCTGGGAATCCTTTGATTACAACTATTTTCCAATTGTTCTACTATATTTTGTCCTTATGCTTTATGACTTATGATATATAATGCTGAACTCCATAGGGAAAGTTAGCTAGATTTTTTACAGTAGCAGAGCCCCTTTAGCAACATTCATTGAACTGCACATGCTGGGGACATGATGGCCACACACAGCTCAAGAGCTCATGACGAAGTGAGAAAAATAAGGACAATGTTGTAAATTTATTCCATACAAGGCTTAACCTTTAATCTTTTTGTGATTTAAGGAATAACGGTAATAGAAACAGAGGTTTTTCAAGTCCTTGTATGGCAGTAAAAGGTCAGCAATGCTACGTTAGTCCATACAATTCGAGGGGAAGTGAATGTGTGAGAAAAAGCAGTGGCCTGAAGTCAGCCGAAAACAACTCCTGGAGAAATCTTCCTCAACTCTGTGAGCATCTAGGAGTCAGTGTGTGGCTAACTATACGTGCTTTGTTAGGAGGATGTCTTTGTCTGCTGAAGCAGACACGTTCAAACACTCCAAAAGCCGGGTAAATGACACCTCGTTGCTGGAAGGCGAAAGCACAGTGACTGACATATTCAAGCCTGGAATTATTCCTCCATCCCCTGACGCCTGGGATCTGTGACTAAATAGTATCATCTGAATGAGTGAGTTCACATGTTTGAATCTGCACACAGTCTCTAAGATATCATAGAGATTTGAAGGAGAATAAATATTCCAGTCAGCATTTCATATGGTTACAAGCACATCAATTCTGCCGCTTCCATTTTATTAATAAAAGGCATTTCCCTACACATATTTTCTTGTGAAATTTATAGAGCTATCCTTTAAAATATGCATTTATTTTTTCAGAGTAGAATGATGTCTTCGATAGCCTTCGGGGCGGGGGGGACGGTTATATATCATTCAACAAAACCTCAGAATCACACATTTGATTCTCTGACATGCAGGTATTTCTGGCTTCGGTGCTACAGAATGGTCAATGGAGACTTCAGAAACGTGCAGACAAATAGCAGTGCAGCTGTCAGCTGGCTCTGCATAATTCCACATAATTCTTTTACTACATTCTTTGGACTCCCAGGATCTCTGGGCCAGCACTGGGGCTGGTGTTACAAGTAAAGCAATTTTATTCAGTATGAGCTCAGCAATTCCCACCGGCCACCTGTCACACATAAGGCACAGCATTTCCTTCTGGGCTAAGAGCTCCTGATTTCTCCAGGGAGAAGAGATGCATCAGCAAGCAGCCACAAAACACGACAGCCGGGTCAGCCACCTCAGGTGGTAATCTGATCAATACTGAGCCTTAGCAATGCTGCACAGGCAATGAAGTCTTGGAATGTACACTGAGCTGGATTTGGGGAGAGTCTGCTGAGACTCTAGGTCCAAGGCAGGAAGCCTTTGGTGCCTTCTCCCTTACCTGCATTATATTAGGCTCTGTTTCACAAAGGCACTTAAACTTTAGGACACCTTTCTCTGCATTTTCGTGCTGGGGCCCTGGGCTTTCCTCCTCTCGTCTGTGAAAGCAAGGCGGTGAAGGTAGGTGTTCAGTGCATAGAGTCTGCCTATTAGGAGGAGACTTCCAGTCAGCCTTTATATATATACTCAGTAGCTCTCAGGAAGAAACCCCCCAGAAGCTTTTCCTTCTGCCTCCTTTTGTAAGAAGGTTGGTGGCCATAAAGTCAGGAGAGAATGGCATTAGGAAGAGGCTTGGGCTGGGCGTGGTGGCTCATGCCTATAATCTTAGCACTTGGGAGGCCAAGGTGGTTGGATTGCTTGA